TCAGTAATCCATCCATTTTTTCTTCTTATCTAGTTCAGGCTCTTGGGGAAACTGAAGTGTATCCCAGCTGTCAAAGGGTAAGAGGTGGGGTATACCCTAGAAAGTTCACCAGTGTGTTGCAGAGCTCACATAAAGACAACCTCCACAATCTGATTTTGAGCAACAAAGATGGGAACACAGATATTAAGACCAGAAGTTTTTTTTTTTAATCTATATCAGAGATTAGGTTCTCATGTTTCCTAGCTGTGCACCTAACACCTTATACAAGCATCGTATCATGTTAGCAATTTTCACCCAAAAACTTTCATTACGCCTGATTGAAGCTGACATCTATGATAATGCTGCTCATTCTCTGACATCATCACATTTCCTAGCAAATGTAGTAACCCCAATATATGAGTAAAATCTCTGACTAAACAATAACATGGACATGTATGCATACACTAAATAAATCGAATTTTATATTTTATAATTGAAGGAAATGTCAAATTTGACCCAGGATGTAGTGGAAATCTACTGCACAAATTATATAAATATACATATGTATATATAATTTATTTATTTATCATTTATAATTTATCCACATTACAAAAATACAGAACAAGAGTTCATAGGATAATGCAAGAGTCTAATCAGAATTGCATATTTTGAAGAAGAAACAAATATATTCTACATATGGACATGAAAAGGCTACTCTCCAAAGTGTTAAGAGTCCTCAAGGCCAAAATATAACAACACCATTTCTCCCAACTATTTTCCCTCATTTTTGGAGCCAAATAAGTATGTTGCCTGTTCCAGCATATGTATTTAGTTGACACTATTAATAAACAATTTGGCACTAGGGCAATTTAGGTTAAATAAAAATGAAATTTAAAAAAAAGTCCAACCAAGGACTGGGTTTGCAAATTAGCCCTTGGCAAGAAAAATTTTGTATGTAACATTGCTTAACTAACTGAATACCAACATATCATATAGCATGTTTCTTAAAGACTAGCCATAGATTTTGTAAGGCCATAAACCCATGGACAAATACCAGTGTATTTACTTCTGAAAATTCAAAGGTGAAGTAAAAGGCCCAACTAATGAGCTAACCATTCCAGACTAGTTTCAGCCCCAGTCTTCAGGCAGATACACTGATTCCACTAGCATAAAGGGCAACCATAAAATGGTATCTCTCTGGTAAATAGGGAAATACTTCCCAAACATTATCTTTGGCTATGTTCTTTGCCACATTAAATTGAAAAACAGCTTGGTTTGCCTACCTAAGTCTACCAAAGGGACATTTATGCGGCTCTACTTATCCTAAAAGAATTTAATATGTTTGCAAACCAAACAAAAAATAGTGCTACTATTACTATCCTAACAATGTAATAACCAAGCAAAAATTAGACACTATCTTGTGTCCCAAAAAACTTGGGTTAGGGTTAGGGAAATTTAAAGCCTTGATTTTACTGCTGACACAGACATGGCCATTTTCTAATAAAAAAAAAAATACTAACATATACAACAAATGTAAAATTAAAAATGTAACAAATACAAACACCACACAGGGTTAATGCCTAGTGGCATGTAAGATAGATCCATAAGCAGTTTATCTGGACCTGCTTTTATAGCCTGGAAGGCCTATCTCAGTACCCACTCCTGACAACTTATTACCCTCCAAAACAGTGAGGACATTACTGCACAAAGGGAAATTTATGCACTATTTGCCCAAATATATGTATACAATGTAGCCAGTTTCTTCCATATTATAGATGAAGTGTAAGCTGATACTGGGCACAATGTTCCCTCTAAACTGCGCGCGTGCGCAATTGCGCACTGCTGGCACGGTCTCTGCGCACAGAAAATCTGCGTTGCGCACAAAAAAAAATCTAACCTGAATTGAAATTAAAATTAAAACTTTAACAATTCTGTTTTGCAGTGTTAGTCAGTAAGTGAATGGCTGCTCCCGTATGGGATTAGAACGATGCCACCTTATCCCATAGTCCAGCCAATGATGCGATTCACATTCGTATTGACAGGCTATGACAGCGTCCTTATGTGCCGACACCGGTGTTTTAGCTAGCAAAGCGGCTGATGTGGAGTGAATCTACGTTAATGACAACGTGTACAACCATTGGAGATGTGAGCAGGACAGACGGAACAATTGACGGAAAAAGTGTGGACTTTACAGGGAGTGCAGAATTATTGGGCAAGTTGTATTTTTGAGGAATAATTTTATTATTGAACAACAACCATGTTCTCAATGAACCCAAAAAACTCATTAATATCAAATGTTTTTGGAAGTAGTTTTTAGTTTTGTTTTTAGTTTTAGCTATTTTAGGGGGATATCTGTGTGTGCCGGTGACTATTACTGTGCATAATTATTAGGCAACTTAACAAAAAACAAATATATACCCATTTCAATTATTTATTTTTACCAGTGAAACCAATATAACATCTCCACATTCACAAATATATTCTGACACAAAAATACATTCAATTTTATTTTTACCAGTGAAACCAATATAACATCTCCACATTCACAAATATACATTTCTGACATTCAAAAACAAAACAAAAACAAATCAGCGCCCAATATAGCCACCTTTCTTTGCAAGGACACTCAAAAGCCTGCCATCCATGGATTCTGTCAGTGTTTTGATCTGTTCACCATCAACATTGCGTGCAGCAGCAACCACAGCCTCCCAGACACTGTTCAGAGAGGTGTACTGTTTTCCCTCCTTGTAAATCTCACATTTGATGATGGACCACAGGTTCTCAATGGGGTTCAGATCAGGTGAACAAGGTGGCCATGTCATTAGTTTTTCTTCTTTTATACCCTTTCTTGCCAGCCACGCTGTGGAGTACTTGGACGCGTGTGATGGAGCATTGTCCTGCATGAAAATCATGTTTTTCTTGAAGGATGCAGACTTCTTCCTGTACCACTGCTTGAAGAAGGTGTCTTCCAGAAACTGGCAGTAGGACTGGGAGTTGAGCTTGACTCCATCCTCAACCCGAAAAGGCCCCACAAGCTCATCTTTGATGATACCAGCCCAAACCAGTACTCCACCTCCACCTTGCTGGCGTCTGAGTCGGACTGGAGCTCTCTGCCCTTTACCAATCCAGCCACGGGCCCATCCATCTGGCCCATCAAGACTCACTCTCATTTCATCAGTCCATAAAACCTTAGAAAAACCAGTCTTGAGATATTTCTTGGCCCAGTCTTGACGTTTCAGCTTGTGTGTCTTGTTCAGTGGTGGTCGTCTTTCAGCCTTTCTTACCTTGGCCATGTCTCTGAGTATTGCACACCTTGTGCTTTTGGGCACTCCAGTGATGTTGCAGCTCTGAAATATGGCCAAACTGGTGGCAAGTGGCATCTTGGCAGCTGCACGCTTGACTTTTCTCAGTTCATGGGCAGTTATTTTGCGCCTTGGTTTTTCCACACGCTTCTTGCGACCCTGTTGACTATTTTGAATGAAACGCTTGATTGTTCGATGATCACGCTTCAGAAGCTTTGCAATTTTGAGACTGCTGCATCCCTCTGCAAGATATCTCACTATTTTTGACTTTTCTGAGCCTGTCAAGTCCTTCTTTTGACCCATTTTGCCAAAGGAAAGGACGTTGCCTAATAATTATGCACACCTGATATAGGGTGTTGATGTCATTAGACCACACCCCTTCTCATTACAGAGATGCACATCACCTAATATGCTTAATTGGTAGTAGGCTTTCGAGCCTATACAGCTTGGAGTAAGACAACATGCATGAAGAGGATGATGTGGACAAAATACTCATTTGCCTAATAATTCTGCACTCCCTGTATACCAGTTTTTAAATTGTGTTGATAGGCCACGTAAAACCAGAGTTATGATAAAAAAAAAATATGCAATGTTTGGTTTTCTTCCTGAATATTATCATTGTTTATATTTACTGTGGAAGAAATGGTAAAACGGCGTATAAGGAAAACGCTCCAATCAAAAAATGATATGGCAACAAGGCATTAGTTGTTTAGGAAGGGAAGTTTTAGGAGTGACGGTGGTGTTTTGAGATGTGAGAGATTTGAGACGTTTAGCGCAAATCTTGTGTAGTTAGTGTGTAGTGTAGTCAATAGTTTTGTTGTGTGTGTCAGAACAATGAGGCGACTGCTGAATGTTACAGGTGTTACAGGAGTGATACATCTCCTGTTGTCAGGCCTGCAGGTATCAGGCTGTTGTTCTCCTTTATCTCATAGTGGACAGAAATTATTTTTTGGAGTGGCACAAATAATTTGTGTGGCATCAAATTTGATGCAGAACAGATGATTGTTCTGTAAATAGTTTGAAATGTTTATTTAAAAAACTGCCTTGGATGCTTTTTAGGTAAACAGCTGCAAAAAACTTTTTACTTTTTTGAAGAAGTAACTATATAAATAATTGCCCAACATTGGTCATTATATACTGTATTTTGCAGACAGAGAGTTACAGGACTCTCTCCCAGACCACAGACTCATACTCATAAAGTCAGAGCCTTATAAAAAATAAAATAAAAAAGAAAGTTGTGTTTTCAAAATTGGAGTTCAAGTTATTATTATTTTTACTTCCAATAGTGTTAACAAACTGCACAGGTCATGAACAAGATTTTTTTTTAAATTTTCATTGTGAGTGGGTTAAAGTATAGTCTAACATAAATGTTGTAATTTGATTATTTTAATAAACCATGTAACTTGGATGGATTCGATGCTGGCGTGACCACAGTGCACACGTCTGCTGTTGCTCACAGTGATCCAAGTGTCCTCTCAGGGAGTTTGTGTGTTCGCTTAGACACATGAAAAATTAGAGGGAACATTGCTGGGCAAGCAGATGGTATTATTCAAAGATATAAAGACGTGTGTGCGTGCGTGTGTGTGTGTGTGTGTGTGTGTGTAGTGAATCACTCTATAACAAAATATTTCCCAATACTTTCCACCTGTACTTGTCTCCGTAACATTAAATTCCCGATGTCATTTAATATTAAACTGCAGCTGACTGATCCAGTGACGACCGGTTAGCGCATGCGCAAGCAGACCTAACAACAAGCGATCGGTTGTGAGATTCTGGTAATATGGGCATAGCTTTGGTATTTTAATGCTTCGGATAACGTAGAGTCAAATGAACAAAGGCTTGAAAATATTTTACTGTTACTATACGTGCACTGTAATTGCATTTCGGCCTTATCACTATGCCGGTAAGTCCCCACGCATGTTTGCATTTTTGTTTTGTTTGCAAACTGGGTTCCTCCCTTCCTCTGCTGATGTGATGCTAACCGGTTAGCATAGCTAACCTAGCCGTTGTTGTTGCTGTAGGATACAAAAAACCCCTTAGACTCATTCTTCCGACGTTGGGTTTTGCGTGTCACCTCAGATTTGGTGTTCTTGAGTGGTGCTTGCTAGCTAGCATTGTCATTTATGTTACTAGTCCAAGCGTATTCCTGCATAGCAAAAAAAGCTAGCGGCAAATGCAAAGCAGGTAACTCAAGCATAACCTCACCGTTAGCTAGCTTCTACAAATGGTACCCTCAGATTTAGTCCAAACTAATAAGCTAGCTCCACTGAATCGACCTGACAGCTCTGCCCTTATATCCTGTTCGTAAAATAAAAATTATTGCTACGTACTAGAAATAACTGTCTTTATTATGGTATTGTGGTCCTTTTTTTTTTTTTCAGAGCCATAAGGTTGAGAAGCAGGAGGTCAGCGATAACGTTAAGGTCGTGGTGAGATGTCGTCCCCTCAACCAGAAAGAGACGACGATGGGCCACAAACAGGCCGTCATAGTGGATGAGATGCGTGGGACCATCACAGTCAACAAGCTTGAGACCCCCCACGAACCTCCCAAGACCTTTACTTTTGACACTGTTTTTGGTCCTGACAGTAAACAGCTGGATGTCTACAATCTCACAGCCCGCCCCATCATTGACTCAGTGTTAGAGGGTTACAATGGTATATTTAATGCGACTACACACATTGCTTTTTCAAATTAAGAAACCATTGCTGTTCTCTTTATTGGATTGTAAACTTTGCATTTTTTTTCTTCTTTCTTATTTTCCACATGCATTATTTGAAGTAATGATTTTTATTTTCTTCTGTCCATTTCAGGCACAATCTTTGCATATGGGCAGACTGGCACAGGAAAAACTTTCACAATGGAGGGTGTGAGAGCGGTGCCAGGGCTCAGAGGGATAATCCCAAATTCCTTTGCTCATATTTTTGGGCACATTGCCAAGGCAGAGGGTGACACAAGGTAAGACCACAATCAGTTACACACAATTGATCCAGTCAATTGCAGACAACTTGGCAAAGAACAAGTTACATCTTTAGGACTTTTGTTAGTAGCAGCACTGTCACTAAAATGCATAGTTTGTTTCCATTTCTTTAGTCTACGCAAAAGACAAAGATAACACTGTTTGACAGGCGTAAAATAGTATTTTTGCACCAGCAAGGTGATTCCCAAACAGCTGTTAGCCAAAAACCTGGCAACTAGTATAGACCTGACACACAACCTAAGAGATTCATCTGCCCTTTCATTTGATCCATTTATGGTTAGCTGAAGCCTTGTTATAAATTGTGGCTGTCAAGAAGCCACAGTAATGTATGTCAAAGTTGTAATGAGGATGTCTGTAACTGGCTTCACATAAACTCAGTCTTTGGTGAAGTGCGATGTTTATCCTCAAGTGTTGATGCATGTGTTTAAAAAAAAAAAAAGGGGGGGGGGAAGCCTGTTAAATGACCCAACAAGAAGGTCATTTCAAAAGTACATGTAGATCTGTTAAATTAAAATGCCATCATCTCATAGTTCTTAAAATTGTTTTATTCAAAAGGACAAAAAAAGAAGATGACCACTGGCATGTAGAGACACCAAGGCTGTCATTTTGACCCCATAGAAATAAATATAAAGTAACAGTCACGGGATGCTGGGTTGCCCAGCAGCACATATTATTTTCATACATTTTGATGCTGAGGCTGGTTGGTATATTTAATTGATGAGTCAATATACATGGGAGTGTAGTTGGATAAAAGATTAATAATTATTGCAGGGCGGAATGGATTGTTGTGGTGGGTGAGAGCAGTGAATGTGTGACAGAACGTGTAGAGAACGGGGGGGTGTTCCAGAGTGAGGACTATTAATCTGAGTGAAAATTGGGGTTTAGCGATCGATATGGATGTGTGAATGAGAGATGCAGATCTCTGTGCAGTTGTGGATGGTGTGATGAACTTTTACTGTTATACAGTTTGTTTGTTTTTCATTGTTGTAGCCAACTATGAGGTTAGTTTTATGTCTGTCTCATAGGCTCGAAGGCTCCCTTTATTTATTTTTAAAACCCTCTTTATTTTAGCATTATAGATGCCACATGTTATCCAAAATTCATTGTCAGCTTTTCCTTAATAATGTTCTCCTAAAATAATGAAATATTCAGACATGCTAGCTATTGTCTTGTTTGTTGTCATCTTTGTTTGTTAGTGAATTCTCATATTGATATTATATTTGTTATCTGTGATTATTTTTAAAACTTAAATCCCCAAAACGTAGATAAGTAAAAACTTAATTACTTAAAATTAGAAAAGCTTTGACCTTACTGTTGTCATTACAAGATGGGGTCAAAATCACCACGCTACCGGTTTTGGTTTAACAAGTTTTCTTTTTATTTAGCATCAGATGAGCATAAAGATTTTGAGACCACACGTTAATCTGAAGACAGTAAAACACCAGACCTAAACACACACCTAAATTTCAGATGTCATTGCTGTTGAAGGGATTTTTCAAAACGATTACATATTTTAGCGTGCAAAAGTGATGTGTACTGTAATTTAGAATGTCTGTGCATTAAAGTGACGTCTTGCATTGAGACATGCACCATGTTAAAAGTAATACAAATATCCAACTAGGTTTGAAAATATTTGGAAATCATTGGGAATGCTATCTATGGGAATGAAATCATTCCCATAGATAGCATTTTTGCACCAGTAAGGTGATTCCCAAAGAGATGTTTGCTGAAAACCTGGAAACTGGTTTTCCCATAGATGGAATCTTTTACTCTGAATGTATTGCTAATGTAATGGGTTTTTTTTTTTGTTTTTTTAAAATTCAAATTATTTAAAGGCTCCAAACCTTTAAGGGCTCTAAACAGAGCTCTTAAAGGTTTTGACCTAAACTGTTACAGGTAAAATATTTACAATTTACAGTTTGAAGTCTTAGTGAGTGTCTGATTTGCACTTACCTTCCACAGGTTTTTAGTTCGTGTTTCATACCTGGAGATTTACAACGAAGAGGTGCGGGATTTGTTGGGAAAGGACCAGCTGCAGAGGCTAGAGGTAACACTGCATTTACAATGAGTAACTTTTAACAAAGCAGTTCGGATAAAGTTGGCATTAAGGGCACTATAGTCTTATCTATATATGACTATAGTATATTATTGCACAGTCTATACCTTGCAATATAAAATGGCCTGTATTTATATAGCGCTTTACTAGTCCCTAAGGACCCCAAAGCGCTTTACATATCCAGTCATCCACCCATTCACGCACGCATTCACACACTGGTGATGGCAAGCTACATTGTAGCCACAGCCACCCTGGGGCGCACTGACAGAGGCGAGGCTGCCGGACACTGGCGCCACCGGGCCCTCTGACCACCACCAGTAGGCAACGGGTGAAGTGTCTTGCCCAAGGACACAACGACCGAGACTGTCCGAGCCGGGGCTCGAACCGGCAACCTTCCGATTACAAGGCGAACTCCCAACTCTTGAGCCACGATCGCCCCATAGTGCCTTGAGGCGACTGTTGTGATTTTTAAATAGAATTGAATTGAACTGAAACCTTCCAGAAGATGGCTAAATTAATTTGATTATGTTCAGTGTTTTGCTAGTGTATTTCTGACAGCAGCTTTTCAACATTATGGTGTTGATTTTTTTTTCTTTTATGACAGGTGAAAGAAAGACCAGATGTTGGCGTGTACATAAAAGACCTGTCTGGTTACGTCGTGAACAATGCTGATGACATGGACAGGATCATGACACTGGGCCACAAAAACCGTAAGCAGAACACAGGCAGTACTGAAAGTGAAATATATGCCACAAAACTAAATGCTGATCTTCATTCCTCCTAACTGAGATATTTATCTCTTGTGATTTAAAAAAAAAAAACCACACGTCAGAGTAAAAGGCTCTCACCCTACTTGTAGTAAATGGAAAATGGTGACTGCTAAAGAGTAAATGGGGAAATATGCAAAAATAACATTTTCAAAGTTTTAATTTCAGGTTCTGTTTTAATGTTACTGAATCAATCACCGTAATTATATTGTCTGGTCAAACCCTATTGTGGTATTTTTAGGGTCTGTTGGAGCCACAAACATGAATGAACATAGCTCGCGCTCTCATGCTATCTTTACCATCACCATCGAGTGCAGCGAGAAGGGCGTAGACGGCAACCAGCATGTGCGCATGGGAAAACTTCATCTGGTTGACCTTGCGGTATGTACTCTTGTACTACTAAACTAAAGGAGATGATATTGATATTGGGTGTATGTACTATATTCTTACAATCCATGATATACCTCACTGCCATTAATTAAATATAGACTTTCACTACTTACAGGGCTCAGAAAGACAGGGCAAGACTGGAGCCACAGGTCAGCGTTTAAAGGAAGCAACAAAGATAAATCTGTCTCTCTCCACGCTGGGTAATGTCATCTCAGCCCTGGTGGATGGCAAGAGCACTCACGTTCCCTACAGGAACTCAAAACTGACCCGACTACTCCAGGATTCACTCGGCGGAAACTCCAAAACAATGATGGTACTGCTAAATTTGGGAAGCAGCGTGCTGTTGTCTTTGCAAGGATGGAAAGATTTATTATAATTAGAGAAACCTTGAATTCTTGCTTAAACCATAGATGTGTTGTTGAAAAATACTTTGGGTGATCTGTTTTGCTGTAACACCACAAAACAACTAACTCCTGACCTAACTAAAAAGCCAACTAACCCTTAAATTGAGGGGGATTTTTACAGTATTTTAAATGTTGAATTGAAAGTTTTTGCCTCACTTCTTTAAATGCAACACTTTAATTCCCTCCAGTGTGCAAATATAGGACCTGCAGACTACAACTATGATGAGACCATCAGTACCCTTCGCTATGCCAATAGGGCTAAAAACATCAAAAACAAAGCCAGGATCAACGAGGATCCTAAAGATGCCCTGCTGCGTCAGTTTCAGAAAGAGATCGAGGAGCTCAAGAAAAAGCTGGAAGAAGGTAAAAAGCCAGAGCTTGAAGAAATCATTGCACTTTTTGATTTGCATATAATTTTTAACGCCACGTCTTTGTGAAATGCCACTTTGTGACGCATCTAGGTGAAGAGATCTCTGGCTCTGATGGCAGTGCGTCAGAGGAGATGGATGAAGGTGACGATGAAGGAGGGGTGGCAGGAGATGGTCGAAGGAGAAGAAGAGGTAAAAACAGTTGTGAATGAGCACATAGATCGTTCAACCTTAAATCTGCTTACAGTGATGCTCTGCATAAGAGATGTTTTAGGCCTTATCACTGTCATCATTCTATTATGAGTCAGCACTGAGGTTGCTTTGATGCTGCTTGAATGTTCACAGTCTTCCTTAAACATAAGACCTCTTAGTTTCCCTGGTATTCTCACCTTCTCTTTTTAAAAAGTAGGTGTTAAATACTCATGAATTCGGTATGTGTTGCAGTGCTGGATGTTTTCTTGATGCTTTGTTCTATTTTTTTTTTTTTTTTTTTTTTTTTAATCTCAAATTGATGTGTGTGCATATTTTTCAGTTGGGACTTTTCTACTTGATATAGTATGAAGCTATTCTAAATTAATAGCAGCCAAACTGTCCGTATGCTGTGAGTAAGCTCGTCTGCTATGTTTGTTTATATGCATATGTGCACATTACAGAGCTGCAGTTGATATACCCGCAAACTGCAAAACAAACGCTGCTAGACCTTATCTCTCTTTTTTTATTTCTCATTGTGGGCTTTGTTGGGTATAGTACTTCCTCTTTTCCTTTACAGACAACATCAGTTCAAATTGTGACTGCACCTCCGCAGTGCCACTGTCCACTGAGGACAAACCTCAGAATAGTGAGTTAGAGCAGCACTCTGCTCACCAACCCACCTGCCTACAAATTTAAGCCCTTTTCACACATGAGACAGATACATTTGCTGTGCCGTGTACTTTTGCGCTTTATTGGCTGTTTGCTTTCATGAATACTAGACGCAGTTCTTTGACAAGTCTTGTTCCCATTTTAGTTTCCCCAAACAATGTAACCTTTTTAGACAGATGCTCCTAAGCAGTTTCACAGTAAAGTAAATATGATCCGTAATTATATAGTCTATATTTCTAGTTTTTTAAAATTTTTTGCCCTCCGTATTTCCTTATTAGCTTGTTGCAACTCTTCGAATGGGGATTAAAATAAAGATTAAACGATGGCTTGTATGCTGTTTATAGGTTTTCTTGTTATGCTCTGTAAAAGAGCATGAATGAAAGCTGAATACCAACCTCATGTCTAATAAAGACAGAATTTTTTTTTCTTCATGCCGTGGATGTAGGTGGTTTTCTTTAGGGGATTTCCTAAGGCCTCGATGTCCCGTCAATGACTCAAGTAATTTGCTGCATTTCCTCTTTAGTGGTCAGCTTACCTAGTTACCTGTTACTATTTTTCACTGTGGTTATTGCAGTTGTCTGGGTTCTGAAGATTTTCTCAATTTTCACTATTTTTAGTGAAAATTCATATATATTTTTTAATGTCCTCTTTGTGTGTTAAAAGCCTTGATCAGTTGATGTAATGGAGAAAGCCTTAAACCCCTTTATTTTTTCTTTTGTTATTATAGTTACAATTAGCATCAGGATTGCATTGCTGGATTACAAGGAAGCATGCAATCTTTTGGGGTGTTGATCCTAGTTTGGTAATTCTACATTGTGTTTGTGAATTACACGACATGTGTGAAAAGGGGCTTTGTACTATCCTTGACACACTGCCACTCCTGTAGGCTCACAGCGTAATCCCGCTTCCCGACTGCTCCACACACCTTCATTGTCATCTCCCAGGCCTTGTTAGGGTTTCCATAAAACTGATTGCAAGTTTGTCCGTTGAATGAAGGTGCTCATGCTGCAGATTCCTGAATCCACTCAGTCCATTAATTTGGGGTATCTGCCCAGCTGGACAACTCTTTGTGAAAGGTTGATCTTATCTGAAGAATATTTTCTATTATTCTTCTTTACAGATGACCCGAATGATCAGTTTTTGTGCATGACAGTTCAATATCCTCACTTTATACCTGCTCAAATTGTGATTTCTTGAAGACCTAATTCACCCACATTATGTTTCATTATGGGTTTTTTTTCTTTCCTGTGTGTCTTATGACCGGCATCACTAAAAGATGCCTCTCATCTCATCAACATTTTTTATATATATATATATATATATATATATATGTGTATATATATGTGTATATATATATATATATATGTATATGTATATATATATGTATATATATATGTATATATATGTATATGTATATATATATGTATATATATATGTATATATATGTATGTATATATATGTATATGTTTCAATTTATAGAGATGTAAGACTTTCCGAATCACTCTGTAATGTGTTGCTCTTTCTTTCTCCTCCTTTTGGTGCAAATGATGCCTGTCTGACTTGCTATACACCTCTTAATTGAAGAAGAAAGAGGTTGGTGTAAGAGTCTACATGGTCAAACTGTCCTTTACAAACAATGTTTTTTGCTCACTTAAAATGATCAAGATTACCAACACGTGCTTTAGTAGCTTTTCACTAACCGATTGGATAACTGCTGATTGTATAAGCACTGCTAGCATTTTTCTGTTTGTCCATTGTCTGACTGCCACCCTTAATACTTACTCTTTTCATAAGCACCATATCATCCTCGCATTTCTTATAGTTTCCCTTATTCATAGGTTTTGCATATACTAACTTTGATTATTTAATACTGTGCACTAGCAAGCTAGAAACATATGCACATGGATCCTACTAGCATTCCCTTTATAAGGACTCATTCAGAAGACCCACAGGTTTGCTCAGAAACTGCACAGATTAAATAATACTAATGCTGATTGTTAAAGAGGAATGAATCTGCCTTTAAATGATTCAATACCTATACAGTGACAAGTGCTTGTTAAACAACCACTAAGGCTCTTTGCTGTCCTATGTGTGTCTGTTCAGGAAGGAAGAAGGTTTCCCCAGACAAGATGGTGGAGATGCAGGCAAAGATTGAAGAGGAAAGAAAGGCTTTGGAGGCCAAGCTAGACATGGAGGAGGAGGAGAGGAACAAGGCAAGAGCAGAGCTTGAGAAGAGGGAGAAGGACCTTCTTAAAGCCCAGTGAGTCAATAAAGGGAAAATAAATTCTATTTTTGATTAAAAATCATTTGTGGTATTTGCTAATTTTGGTAATTGGTGGGCCTTTTAAAATGTCAGGCAGGAGCATCACCTCCTGCTAGAGAAATTGTCGGCTTTAGAAAAGAAGGTGATTGTGGGTGGGGTGGACCTCTTGGCCAAAGCTGAGGAGCAGGAGAAGCTTTTGGAGGAGTCCAACAATGAACTCGAAGAGCGTCGCAAGAGAGCAGAGCAGCTGCGGAAGGAACTGGAGGAAAAAGAGGTACGGATAAATAACGTCACTGAATCCACGCATTATCTCATCCTTTCCTAAGTTTGGCAGCTGATAGTCACGCTGTTGACGGTAATGTCACAATAATGAATCAGCATTACCACTTGGGAAATTCTTCTTTACCTGTTGTACCACATTGTAACCACAATAAAGCAACACATACATTCGTAAATTAAACCTGTAACCCATATCTGTCAGTTATCTGTCAGTTACTCTGGAGAGAATATCTCATGTATGTATGTTTTGTTTGCTTGCTGACCAGTGGTTTAAAAAAACCCAGCTAAATTAATAGTTTCACAATTTGTGAAACTATTCATTTTTTGTTTATTTTTGGGCAACATTTTGCTTCAAAAAATTGCGACTCTTTTGCCACTCATAGCTAACCATTATCCTGTCGTGCTTCACTGAGATGACAGGATATGCTGACAGTTACATTGCTTGTTTTTTAGAGAAATTATTGCATCACTGTGGTTGGAAATATGGTTAGAAGTTAATACTACACACTTTCATGTGCAAATTGATTATGATCGATGTTCAGATAAAAGTTGAAACTCATGTCCTTTTAGTTTAATGTCTGAATTAAAGATATTTGAAAGCTTTATTTTTTTCTTCTTATTATTATTAAAAGTGATATTTTGATTTTTTGCTGTTTATTTGTGGCTGTTCCTGCTTGCAGCTCGATGGTATAATGTCCTTTACCATACACACAATATATTTTTGTAAACCCAAACAAAAGCTTGCAAAAGTACCTTGATTGTGCATAATCACAAACCTCGTCTCTCTTAAAACAGCAAGAACGTTTGGATATAGAAGAGAAGTATACTAGCCTGCAGGAAGAGGCTCAAGGAAAGACCAAGAAGCTGAAGAAAGTATGGACCATGCTGATGGCTGCCAAATCTGAAGTAAGTTTAACAAAGGGTTGCACCATAAATGATCATTATTCTTTGACTTGTTCCCTGTCAGGACAGAAGGGTGACCATTATGAGACACTAAAGTATTGCTATTATTAATTGTGTATGCAGCATGTATATTCAGATTTAATCAAATAGCTCTTTGTGGCTAGATGTATTATCAGTTTAGCAGAAACTGATCTGCTAGCATTGTTGTTTTTCATCGGTTAGATGGCAGATCTGCAGCAAGAGCATCACAGAGAAATCGAAGGCCTCCTCGAGAATATCCGCCAGCTGAGCCGAGAACTCCGGCTCCAGATGCTCATCATAGACAACTTTATTCCCCAGGAATACCAGGTGTGTGTGCGTGCGTGCGTGCACATTTAAGAGAAGTCCAGATAACGCAATGACAGTAGAAGTACTGTAATATTAGACATCTTTAGTTACAAGGCTAATCTGATACTTGTATTTACCTGTTATTTAAACATACACACATTAAGCATACATCATCTAAATCTGACATGAATTGAGTGGGGTTGTTTTTATATTGTTGTTGGCTTTATTTATTGTTGTTTTACTTCTGCTTCCTCTACATCAGGGGTCGGCAACCCTAGGCACCCGTGCCAGGGTTAACTGATGGCACGACCATAGCTGGACTGGCCATCGGGCATTTGTTCGGTGGGCCGATGATTTTTATTTTATTTTTTTTGTAACGGTATAAACAATGAAAGGTAGTAGATTGGCCAGATGCTGGCCGGTGTGTAAAAATAACTCAGTTGTTTGGTGGTGGCTATGGCGTAGCTTCCACAGATTCAGTAATATTAGCAAGTGGTGGCCAGCAGGTGGATGAGAGAAAGGGGAGGCAACAGGAGAGACCAGAGGCGGGGCCGGTCCGAGTGTCAGGTGAACTGAACTTTAGGTAAGAAGTTATGATCTGCAGTCTATCTGGGTCAGATATAAACCAAGTTTAGGTGCAGTTTATTTTCGTTGTGCTGACTTTTTACAGTCAGTTACAATAACTCGTACTGCGTGCTAGCTAGCATGACGGAGTTTCTATACAGCTGGGTGGGTGCTATGATGTTACTGATAGTGAACTTTATTTTATTCATAAGGTTAATTAGTAGAGTTGCCAACCATCCCGTAAAAAGACGGAATCGTCCTGTGTTCAGAGAAAATATTACGCATTTCGTATTGAGCTGAAAAGGAACACAGTTTGTCCTGTACTTCAGCTACAGTGAAAAAGACACAAAGCTGGAGTTTTTCTATCTTTATGCTGTCAGCTGCATCTTCTCCTCTCATTCTCTCCCTCTCCTGTTGCTACTTCAATCATGAAACTGATCAATGATCAGCTGATTGGCTTTTCTCTCTGGTTTGTTTATCGCCCACTTTGCGCCAGAAAGAGGAAACCAGCGGATGTCGCGCTAAACAACAGCAGCACGTTTAAGCTTGATCAGCTGTTGTTAGAATTTATTTAATATTAATTTCTAGTATCAGCTGATGTTTGCTGGAGCCACAGCCGTAAAAGCTGCTGGTCATGATGTCGGTTTGGATATGTGGTGAGAGGGAAACATGAAGATGAAACCAGGAGATGTCCTTACTGAATCATCAGAGCTGAACAGGTGATGGAGAAACAGGTTTACCTTTTAGGTGACATGAATGAGTTGAAGGGAAGTTATGAACTGTTTCTGAGAGACAAATAACACCAGGATCCTTTTCTATGTAACTGACAGTTGGTAACTGTGCAGGGGCGGGTCTAGCAAAGTTTTGCTAGGGGGCCAGGCAGGGCATTTACAGGGAGAGGGGGGCACAAAGAAAAACTTTCTTATTCTCATTTAAAATGTCTGGCTGTTATTAAATAATTATCTGAAGCTTACAACCAAAGTTTTTATCTGACGTAAAATGTATAGAAATCATACATATACCAACAAGATTGTACATCACTGTCACAACAGCATTTGTTTTCATTCAAAGGCTTTATGGCTTTAATACCTGGTGGGCCGGTCTCTAGTCAAAATGCCCGGGCTGTTTTGGGTTTTTTTTTGTCCCAGTCCAGCCCTGGGCAAGACACGCAATGAATTAATCTGAGAAGGTGCATTAAAAAATAAATGGCCGCGCCAGCGGTGCACATCAGAAATGAGCTGCATAGACATATTAGTTGTGCCACTTCTTAATGACGGTATCTTAGCTAACAACCCCAACTACCAGATTCAACTTGTAATTGGCTAAAAATAACTTAGCCTACCGGTGAGAGGGACGTTGTTAGCTTTCCACATTCCGACACTTCAAAAGCTTCAGGAGCTTTCCGCTCAGCACAGCATCAGCACCACGGAAATACACGGATACAGACTCGTTTTTGGGACTTTCAGGTGTATGGACCAATGTTTTATTTTCTGATCACACCAGAAAGCTTTAATGAGCAGCTGGATTTGTCTTGCATTAACTGGCTGAGTTAATGCCAACATCGAAGCAGCTGGAATCCACAGCTGTGCGTGTTCATGGAGCTTGCATTTTCACCTGCTGGACATCACTACCTGACAAGTTTAACTGTCTTCAGAACATTGCAGAGGCCTTATTGACAGTATTTGGCTCTGCATGTCTGTGTGAGCAGATTTTCTCTCACATGAAGAGAGTCCTCAGTTAGCCGTCTGAATGCTGGACACTTGGAGACCTGTGTCTCTGAGTGGGAGACCAGAGATCACATTAACATGTGTGTCCCTGTATTAACAAACATGCCATATTGGCTCAGTTTATTTTTCTTGTCATTGTTATGAGGAAATAGCATCTGCATTTTCTGTTGTACAGTTCATTTGCTGTTATGGAGTTCTTGTTATGGATAAAAAGTGTCTTTTTTTGTTTCAAAATAGCTGATAACTATTCGCTGATAGCTGCAAACATCTGCGAACAAATATAATTCTATGAAGTGGTTCTATATAGTGTGCAACTGTTAATATAGAGCGTTATTAAATTTATTGCTAATGCAATCATATGGCACACTGACTTGAGGAAATTTTAGACGGCACTCGTCATCAGAAAGGTTGCCTACCCCTGCTTTACATCTTTTGTCATAGAGACACAGTTCAGACACCTTGTGCATGTGTTTTACTCTTTCTGAATTATTTAATAATTTTTAATTAATAATTTGTTTTGAAAATCTGACCTTACTCAAAGTAATGGTAGGTCTGAATTGGACTAATTAACTGTCAGATGTTAGAATCAAAACAATTGTCTCTAACCACAGTTTTCAATCTTTAGGCATGAATTTTTGTCTTGTAGGCTGAATGACCCCTCCTTTTACTTACAGGAATTAACCAGCATGCTTGAAAATGTCATTTTGATAATTATAGCTGCCAATTATTTATTTGAAGTTATCAAGATGATCTGATTGTGTGAGATTTTCAAAATAAAAGCCATATTAAAAACTGAAGGATATACTTAGAAATATCAAATTTTCTAAATAAAACCCTATTGTTATTGTTGTTCTTTCCATATTTTTTTCCAATGTTTTTAACAATGATTAAAAAAAAACCAAAAGTCTCACAGTAGCAACAAACCCCTCCGTTTTTTTTTTGTTTTTTTTTCAGAAATTCCACATATTTGATCCACATAATGAAAGTTTTGATTATTAGTGAACTTCTGTAAATCTTTAATCCTGATATGGTATTAACGATTATTAATGGGGAAATGGTATTTGTAGGAAGATGTCAGTTGTAATGACATGCCACTGACAGTAATGAATAGCATTTTCCTAAAGATCTGTGCCTTTGTTAATAAGAGAGAGGATTTGTTACTGCTGGACCTTTGTGAATTTTGCCAACCAGCAACAGAGTGACTGCTGTGACCAAATAATTATTTTTCACATCTACAAACATACATTTTAATTTTGTTTCATATATTCCAGGAAATTAAAAGAAGAGCATCCAAGCAAGATGTTGTAGAGTAGACCGCAAACAGAGTAACACAGGGTCAGATTTAATCAGCTTTACTTTGGCCAACACACATCCATAGGAGAAGAAGCTATTAAGGTTTATCTACTAATTTAAAACAGGATGTTTGCGTAGTACGATGTTGTTAGAAAGCTATGCTGTTGTAGTGCTGAATGAGATGTTGTGACAGATATACAAGCCAAATTTGTTTTTACCAAAGTACCTACAAAAAGACATAGACTGTGCGATAGTGCTCTTCACAGTATGTGTGCGCACATCAGCAGGAAGACAAAAAGCTGCGTTTGTAATTTATTTGACAAACACATAATTTCTGTAGCTTTGCCTCTGTACACCACAACAGTGAATTTTCAATCCATCAATATGTGATTGAAGCGCAGACTTTGAGCTTGAATTGGAGGGGTTTATGAAAATGTGGCAGACCAATTAACGTCACAGACCAGGATCGTCAAGTGCTGAAAGGGCACGACACGCTCTGATGACCCAGTAACTGTAGAGCTCCTAGCCTCCTCTGCCAGTAATAACATCACAGGAACTAATGTGCCTCTAGCTAGGCATGGGTTTCCATGGGCGAGCAGCTCTAGTAGGTGTTGTGTGTAGGTTACCAAGTATTTTGTCCAAGTCGTGTATATGTGCATAGTAGATGTGAAAAGAGATAACAGATTTCAAAAGTGGTGCAATTCAAAATCTAGTAGACATACATGCATTTAAACTCAGATTTACAAACTGGAAAAGCTGCTTCTTTCTTTACTCAAACATTAGTAATGCGCTTCCTGTACGATGACATTTTTACATGGGAAGCAACATCTACTAGCATTAAACATTTTCATTGAGAAGCAGGCAAACAGGAAGGTTGCATGGCCTTCCAAGTAGCCTACAAAACTGTCAGCTGACCAGTTTTTCTTTGACAAGCAGAAAGAAATGTTACTTTTGCTGTTTTTTTCACCATGCAACATATCTCATCTTCAACTTCCAGATAGTGCTTCTGATAATCTCTCATGTTTTGCTTGTAGGAGATGATAGAGAACTATGTGCACTGGAATGAGGACATTGGAGAGTGGCAGCTGGTGAGCTCACTTTGCACAGCTAATTCACACACTGGTGCACAGTCTAATCAGCATCCGTTTAAAGAGTTTCACTCCTTCTTTCTGGTGATTTGTGTCTCTTTTAGAAATGTGTGGCTTACACTGGCAACAACATGAGAAAACAGACCCCTGCTCCAGACAAAAAAGAAAAAGATGTGAGTTGTGGGAAGTTGTTTTTATGTAATCATTGATGTTGTGGATTTTTTTTCTCTCTTTACATTGTAATTCTGACCTCTTTTCTTTTCTCCTTGTCACTGTAGCCATTTGAGGTGGATCTGTCTCATGTGTATCTAGCCTACACAGAGGAGAGTATGCGGCAGTCGCTGATGAAACTAGAGAGGCCCAGGACCTCTAAAAGTAGCAAGAGTGGCCGTCCCAAGACGGGGCGAAGGTAGAGAGCTTTCTACACAAATCAGTACCTTGTGTTTTAATATTGACTACCTGTCCCCTGTGTAGTTCACACACATTTTCCTCCCCCATCTACATTTGTCATAGCAGTATGTAATACACTTCTGTTTCCTCTTAGTTAACAAATATGAACTTGAATGTACAATGTACTTGAATGTGATTTGACCCAGTTTGGTTTGCATGGGTTGGACTGCATCCTGTCTGCAAGATGAATGACCGAAATGTTAAAAAAGGAAGGAAAAAAAAACGTCCACAATAATTATTATTATTATTATTTTTTAACAGGCCAGCTAATAGCTACCATTAACCAACAACACCAAAATTCAAACTTGCACCTCTTTCTAATGTTGGCCTTTTTATTCCCTTAGTGCTGAATTTGGATCAGATTATTGCTCCTGGCTGACTGTTGCAATCGCGTTCCTGCGCTTGCTTATCATGGAGAGAGATGGTTGATTTCTACTTAATTTTTCTGTTACCCCAGCTGCAGTTATCACAGAGGAAGATCTTCCTCACGTAGTTACACTGAGGCAGAGTTAAAGTACTAATCAGGTCAAACTGATTGTTTTTTTTTTTCTTTGAGTTTAAGCTTAGATGCAAAACAGATCAAGTGTAAATGGGTTCTTTAGATGCAGGGTTCAGAATAATTTGTTAAACAGTGAGCTGGTTATCTCCATGTGTACTTGTAGATCAGTGACATTTCTACTTATGTTTTATCTTTTTTGTTTTTTTGTTCTTGAGTTCGACTGCATGAATATGAAGTGCATGCAGTCCAAGTGACGAACAGGGTGATCAATTTAAATATAGCGTTGAGTTCCTGAATATCGTTTGGGAACTCAAACATTTAGCAACTCTTCATAATTAGTGTATTTATAGCAGTTTGATATGAGCTGTAAGCATGATGGTGTTAGTCAATATCATGATATGCTGCTTTTCTGAGAACTGAGCAAGCTGAAAAGCTCCTTGAAATGCTTGATAACGTTTATCACACACCCATCTCCACACAGGAAAAGATCTGCAAAACCAGACGCTGTGATCGAATCCCTTCTGCAGTGATGACAGCACAGAGGAGAGCCCCAGTGCACTGCAACTCTCGTGTTACCTGAAAGAAGCTGTTGGTCCAGTTTATGACCAAACACTATCTAAAAGATTATCTGCATACTTTAAATAACTCATACGGTTTTACATGTAAAAGAGTTGCACCTGTGATAGGACTTTAGACTTCTTGGCCTGGAGGACCTGTTATATGTATTGTGGTATTTTTATGTTGCTTTGGGACATATTTCAGCTGCACCATAACCATAAAAATATACATTTCTCTTTTGAAAATGTCTTAAATCCTGACAGAAGCTGACAGAAACAGAGCTGTGAGCTTCTAAACTGATTTCCTGCGATGTGACCAACTGGTTTGTGTTAAGTGGCCCGTGCGGATATTAATGTGTTATGATTAATTTCTGATTGCGTGTGCAATTTCACAGAAATCATTTGGGTAAAAGGTTAAAGTATTTAAATAATTATATACACGAAAAGTTTGCTTTATACTCGTTCCTGTAGGTAAGGAGCATAGGAGCATGCATGTCAGTCAACTCTTACTGCTAATAGCTAAAATAGGAAAGTCATCTTTTTATTGTCAGATGTCAGGACACTGTGTTATATTATTATAACGAGATACTACATGCATATGGTATGCCTTAGTATAATGCACTAGTAAGAATTTTTGTGAAGATGATTTCATTTCATGGTGTTTTATAGTGGAGGCAAAATGGCTTTTATTTGGTATCATACTGTATTATCATACTGTCAACTGTTTACAATCTCTAAACCACTGGGTTTTTTTTCTTTTGGGGGGGGAGGTGTTATTTATTAAATTATTCCACATGTTTTATCTCACATTCTGGATGCTCTTTGTGTTTCAGAATTAAAATGTTAGAAACTAGAAGAGATTATCATGATTATACCACCACACCAGGAACAGCTCAGCTGGCTTTCAGAATGAATTTCTAAACTAACCTAATTGATGTCATATTTGTTTTTTCTTTATCTTTTGCATAAAACAACTTTTTACTGAACAGTTTTACCCACAAATACTTTCAGGGTGTGATTTACCAAGGATCCCCACCGCCCCCTGCTCTTTTGATCCCCCTGTGGGACAAACCAAAATACAGGTGGAAGTGATCTTGATCCCTCTTTTCATGACGGCACCACACATGAAAGATGATCGGACATGTTACACACGCCTGATCATCTGCATCAGCATTCCCAGCACAATGGTCCATCGATAACTTCATCTGTGAGAATTTTTTGTATTCTTTGTGCAGGCTGTGATCAGCTGATCTGTTCTGTTGTCAGCCTCGAGGTTTACTGCTCTTTGTGGATTTAACCGTCTGAATTCAGCATTTCATGTGCTGTCACAGCTCCTTACCAGCTCACAGGCAGTATCAAAGGTACAATATTATGAGTAAAACTACACGCCCCATTTCAGAAGCCGAAAAGGTTTGCTCCAACACCTAACAATGATCGGCTATCTTATTAAAAATAAGAGAATTTGTTTTAGACTTAAAGCTGAAAGTCAACAGTGCAACTGAATCAGCAAACTCTGTTTCCTTGTAGAAATAAATCATATTTATTCACATTATTTTTACATCATATTTATAGATGGTTGTCAGTGCACTCGCAGTGGGGTCCGCCCCACAGTTTGAGAACCACAGATCTAATCAAAAAGTGATCTTAAACACCACATCCTGCTCTACACTAGTCCAGTATAGTCCATTAGTGTAAACTGCACTAAATTTCCACATATTTTAATACCATTAAAATACCATATTTCAATAGCACAAAATTCCAGTGATTCAATTTGTTTTCAGGTCATTTCTTAATATGAAATAACTTCAGGGACACATCATGTACAGATCCACTGTCTGACTTAAAAATCTGCACATCATCGGGCAAAACGGGGATGAAAGGGATAAAAGGATGTGCACACTGCTTTTGAATTTGATGGAGGAGTTATCGCCATGCCGTCAGCTGGAAGCAACGCTAGGCTTCAGCGCAGAGGAAATGAACTCGCCAGAAAGCATTTTGTATGTAACAGCAGATTTCAACATTCACTCACTAGTCGAAGGTTCCGGCTCGTCCCAGTTTAACCTCGATCTACATTGCAGCCATGCAGCAGGGCTTGCTATCTGTGTGACATCCTGCTGGAAACCACAGAGGCAGGCATCATTCACTGCATCAAATCAAAAGTTACAACTGGCGGCTCATGGTGATGTGAAACGGGTCACATAGCCGAGTCATTGTCATCTATTTATTGACTTTCAAACTGTGAAAGTCTGGTATTTGTGTCAGTAAATGAACCGGGGGTTGCCCCGCAGAGAGGTGGCTCAAAGAGGGATGAGGTGCTACAAATGGGCTGTTTCTGCTTTCCTGCGTGGGAAGTGGTCACCATCAACAGACCGCTTTCTCAGGCAGACATAGAAGCCTACGCTCTACTCAGGCAGGCCCTGTTTGTTTATTTATGAATGACATGTTTTAAAAAACATTTAATAATTTAATCATTTATATTGGTAAGAAGCATGCGACTGATGCACACATTAATTTTAAATAAAGAGATAAAGATAGGCTATAAATCCAGTGATCACACGTCTAAGTCATGAACATGCCTGGCTGAAGTTCATAATTATCCCATAAACATTATACACTGATGGCAGTAATGAGTAATAAATACACAAACACACATCAATAGGTGTAAAAATCAAAGTAATGACAAGTGCTCCTTTTTGTTTTAATTTATTTGTATATAAATAGAAAACGTGAAAAAAGTAATAAATATGTCATTAAATAAGTCCATAAATATATTTACAGTTGCAATAAACTTGGGGATAACTCTTCATTTAATATGATGTGGACATATGATGCTCTTGTTGTTCAAGGCGACGTCAACACAATGCACAATTTTCTCCAGAAAGTCTTGTATATTATATTGGTTTTGCGTGTGCAGGTGACAGTTTTCATCCTGCAACAAAATCAGGTTTACCAGTTATGTTTCAAACATTAAATTTAGTTGAAGACAGAACTAAACACACACACACAAATCTTTTATCACCACATCAGCGATTTGCTGTGTTAATTACTAAAACACAGTCAGTTTTTTGAATTACTACCATACAAATGCATTGAAAGAAATATGCATCTTTACCTTGCTGTACACACGCAGGGAATGCTCAAGTGTTGCCAGATTCTGATTTGAATTGTTTTCCAGAGATTTGTTCAGCGCCTTGTCAGCTAAGCAGAAGAATTTTTCCTGCAAAGAGAAAACAGTGATAAGCAACGGTGCCCAACATGCTGGAGATGAAACTGAATGACATAACATAACAAACGCGTGGTAACCGCTGTCTGTTATAGAAGTCAAAGAACACCGTGAAGAGTAAAATATGAAACATTTTCAACTTACCACACATTTTTCTATCTTAGGCACATTGAAGTCAGGCAGCTGCAAGGATAATTAGATAAAAATGTCAGTATATCAACAAAGAATATATGGCGTACTAACAGAGAAACATAAAGTTTACTTACATGATCTTTTAATGCCTTGTTGGCATGTTCTCTAATTTGCTTCAGCTTCAGCCTTTTGTCTTCACACGGGTTGATTGGTGCTGCATAGACCATCACAGCTATCATCAACAGTGTAAGACACTCAATACCAAAGTTCTTCATGTCTTTCAAAGAGCTCCGGAGCTAGAAGTGTCAGCTTGAGTAGAATAAGGTAAATTCCCTAGATAGTCTTACTACTGTTGGTACTTATACAACTCACCCATGACCACGTCACAGGGGGAAAGCACCAAATAAGGCGTGATGATTATTGCATGTTCCACTAGTTGAACTCCATCGATTACTAAGAAGTTACCTTTCCTGAAAAGTTTAATCAAGAACCTAACCCCCCCATATTCACACCTTAAGGTATATTTTTACCACAGAGACTGCAGCTTTGGTGCGCCCTTTACTTTCACCACTGGGACTTTGACTTAACCCACTTTAAATGTACAAGCAGAGTTTGCGTGTGGTAGCAAGTGGCATTACTAACATTTATTAGTATTTTTATTAGTATTAGTGTCTAGCCATTAATGTGTGACATATCAGACTGTGGTGTGTAATGTGTAGGCACATGGGAAATATTTTGAGTCAAGATTTCAACTTAAGCCAATCCCACACACACTAGGAAGAGGAAAATGTGACTGATAGAGAAAACTCCTAATAGCCCTAATGTCAGTTTTACTCTGTATAGTAATCCCCCCCACACACCCTTATTCACCCACGCACACAGACACACACACACCCTGCTCCCCTCTCTCCAATTATGTCATTATTAGACACTACAGTAGTAGTGTATTACTGTATTCGTTTTAACTAAATTATTATTTATTTAAAACTATTTAGTTAAAACTTAGTTAAAACTTAGTTAAAACTTAGTTACAACTAATACAGCGTTTAGCTTTCATTAACAGTAAGCCAAAAATACTCGAATTAGTAGAATTAGTCACAGCCTCCACCAGTCACACCCAGTGCAGCTGAGAGATAGCTGCAACATTTTTGGTTTATTATGTGATGTTTTTTTTATATATGTTGAAGCTCGAGCACACACCTTTTTGCAGTTTAAATACGCTTACATTTATACACTTCTACTCGTTATTGCTGTGCCCTTGCACCGGACAGGCTGACATCCTTTGAGAAAGGGCCCCACCTTTAGGTATTGTTAAGTAACTCAGCTTTAAGGATATTCAGTGTATTGCAGTAGGCATTCACAAGCTGCTGCTGTCTGAACACAGAAACAAAACAACCATGTGCACTTCACAATACTTTGCTCCTCAACCATTCAAGTAGTTCCTGAAAGATGAGAATTATTCAGTGATTTTACCAAGCCAAGATTTCAAAATGAGTCCATAAGGTCTGCATGAATCTTGGTTATAAATGGTTAAACAGTCAAACAGGACAGACTGCACCAAATGTGCAACACAGTCATGTTTATTTACTTAAACCATTAGATGCTTGTAAAGCTCAACTTAGTACATTGTCACATTCTAACATTGTGTCATATGTCTTTATAATATATAAGCTGTCAGTTCTACTGCTGAAGATTAAACAGTGGTTTCCACCTTTTTTGTAGCTACATGCCTTATATTATCTTTCCATTGTAAACTTTTGAGGTTTACAATGGTATGTGTATTTAGATCCTACATGTTTATTTACTTGAACTGTCATCCTCGAGAAAGATGTATAGAAATTGTGTGCTGTACACCTTTATCAGTAAATAGGCTTCAACAGGAATGACAACCCAGCCAGGAGCAGCAGCAAAAGCAGCTGCCGCTCTTGTTTTTTATGGAGGAAATGTTTGCTTTCGCTCGGAGGATCAATCAGCTCCGGAGAGCCTGGACCATTCAGAGCGCCAAAGCTCACGAGCCTGTCAGCCAATAGGAATCCGCACAGGATTGAGGCTAGATGCGCCATTTTACTGCGTCCACAGCCATCCGGCAAGATGGTCCCCCTGCTTTGTCTCCACTGACCGGAGTTGTTTCGGTTTTCTCTTGCTTCTTCTTGCTTTAACACTAGTGAAAATCTGTATGCTCGACTGAGCTGGGCTGCCTGGGCCAAAGACAAAACCCGTGTTTGTCAGTCAAGAAATGACGACGGCGAGAAGTAGGTACGAACACTTGTCTTGTTTGTTTAGACAAGTCAGTTTTGCATTGATTGCCGTGCTTGCCTTCGCTAGCGGCGAGCCGGGCCATAGGAGCCTATTTGCTAGTTAGCAAGCTAGGCTAGCTTGGTTGCAGCCGTTAGCTGCGCGGCCGGTAATGCTCAAGTTTGCGCACACGCTTATTCAGACGCACACACGCGCA